CCCCCCCCCCCACCACCACCACCAGCAGCTGAGCTGCACTACACAGTGAACACATCAGAACAGCATTTAACCAGATCTAAATTCCATTTGCCCTTTAGATTCAGGCTTCACATCCACAGCTGAAACTGACAAGGCCACCACTATTTGTCATGTGCTGTTGAAAATCAGGAATGTTTCTCCACCTGCAATTGCCCCTCACCCCCTCACCCTTCCAGTGTCTTGTGGCATGAGCTGTACAGTTACTCAGTCTTGTAGCCTGTGCTGGTCTCCATTTGTTTGCTTTGTACAAGCTGGAACTTCGTCCCAAACCTCTACAGCATCCTGGGCGTTCATGTCTAACAGTGGAGCTTCAGAAATGCCTTCAGCCGTCCCGGGCGTGGAGTTCAACCTGCAACTGAGGCTGAACAGCATCTGCTTCCAGCTGAAGTTTTAACCTCTGTAGAAGATTCTAAGAAACAGGAAGTGCAGCGTGTTGTCAGGCTGGTCCACAAGCCTGCAGCACATCCCTCTGTCGTTCTCTGGGTCCTCATCAAATCTGAGCTACACCTGTAACAGTAACCGCCTTCAGGATCAGAGCCCGGTTCCTTCTGCAGCCATATCAGTCTCTGAACTCTGACAGTAGAGGAGAGCACCCCCTCCAGGACCTCGGTGTGTCAGCCAATCAGGGACATCCCATGTCTCCACCTGCCGCGTTGATCAGTTCGGGATCTTCATTCCTTTGTGTTTCAATCAACCAGCTCTCCCTGAACGGGATGAGCCATGGACCCGCTGTCTCTGCCCCGTCGCCCTCTGACAGGTCCACAGGACTCTTCATGTTCCCAGTATGTGTGTGTGTGTGTGTGTGTGTGTTTTATTCTAGGGATTCTACAGGGATGATTAGGGCGGGTGGGAGGAATTATTAGTTTGATGTGTTTTGTATTTTTTGGAGCGATCTGTTTTTGTCTTTTTGATCTGCAGTTGGTGTTTTTAGTTTTGATGTTAAAGCAAGCAACTCGTTCCCAAGTGATGCTCAGGCACTGCTGTGTCAGGCTTCAGGCTCCGCCTCCTTCCGATGGAGATGTTCCCCTTCACACAGTCCCAAACTGATGCCGAGTTCAGGTGCTCCTCGCCAACTTGTCTGCTCAGAACCTTCCCAGGACGTTTCTCAATGTTAGATGAAATTTAATGGTGCATTAAGCAGCAGCTTGAATAACAGCTGGGACGTACAAGTGTTGATTACATCGATGTGAAACAACATCTGGATTGAAGCCGCACAGACAAATACATGAAAAACAGCAGAGAAATAAGTGTATATTTAAAAGGTAAGAGAAAAGTTCACATTATTATTGATTTGTTTTAATGTAAAACAGGAGTGATAAGGGACATGGGAGTTAACCCTGGTCAAGGCCGTTCCTGACTTTATGAGCGGGCACCTGAACGCACCGTTACAACTGACGGGTGTGCTCTCCTGTGTGCAGGAGGCGGAGTCTGAGACAGGACACACGTGTTTGCGTCTGATTCAGGTGACAGCGCTGTTTTGGGATTCTGCAGCCTTTTACTCCCTACGTTCTCCTGCGTGAAACGGGTCCGAACCGAAGGTGAAGCCACAGTTAAATAAACTGATAATGGAGCAGCACAAACAGCAATCATGTACAAATACACACATTAGATTTGAGTTCAAACTGGGTTGTTTGTGGCCTAGCAGCCAGGTGTACCTCTGACCTGCTGTGAAGCTTTTCTCTCTGCGAGTCTTAAAAACGGCACATCAGCGTAAACACACCCTTGTGTCTGGTTTCATGCGGAGCAACGTCTAGTTTGATAAATTGGTTAATTCTGAGAGAAGAGCACCATGGGAGGAAAGAACCGAGGTGGTTACTCCAGTATTTTAAGATCCTGCTTCTGGGGCCTCTGGATCAGGGAGCTCTGTGTCACGTGAAGTTCTGTTTACTGTCTGCTGGAGCTTCTGTTCGCAGGGTCAGGACTCCTCACGTTGGTTTATAAGTCACTATGGAAACAAAAGCTCATGAAACGTTAAAACCTTTTATCAGGTCTGTAAACCAGTGACTCCCTCTGCGATCAGAAGCTCAAGAGCACATAAAACTGCTACAGTGGATTTTCATGGCATTTTGTCACGATCTAAGAAATATAGAAGTTACACATTTTAACCTAGTTTCAGGGGAATCAGGGGAAGAAGTTTGTTCCTTTCAGCTTACAAAAATTAACTGGGTTTAAATGAACAAGTAAAATTTGAATGGTTTTCTTATCTTCTTCACGGAGGCCGCGGGTTTGCTGACCTCGACTGATCAACGGAAAAATCAGTTGATAATCTGCTAAGTAAAACGCAGTGATAAGTGTTGGACAAAATATGATGTGGGAATTACTTTCAGGTTTTTAATGTTTCATAGATTAATTGAAATGAGCGGATGAAGCATCTGTTGCAGCTCTGTGGGTGGGAAGCCGGTGAGGGATCAGGGGCCCCTGCTCATAAAATCATTGTACATGAGCTCGTTAACATGGAACAGACGTGGCATGTTGTTTTTAAGAGTAAAGGTCAAAGGTCATGACTTTCATACTTGCTGAACTCACAGGTTTTCAAGGCAATATTGTTAATAGACTCTTGGCTCAGGTTCAGGTTGTTTTTACTTTTTAATGACATAAATTGTTTGACAGATGCTTGGTTTCTGCAGCCATGTGATAGTTGACCTTTGACCCAACTCCTGTCAGCTGTGGGAAAAATGTTTGACTTTTGCTGTGATGTAACAAATGATACTGAGGTTTTCAATAAAAAAGAAAAAAGGTCATGCGATCTGAGCAGTTCTTTCAATCCAGCGTTCAGGTTCTCTCTGTGTCGGGGCCACTTTGCTCCAACCAAAGTACAGTGCCTTGCGAAAGTATTCGGCCCCCTTGAACTTTGCGACCTTTTGCCACATTTCAGGCTTCAAACATAAAGATATAAAACTGTAATTTTTTGTGAAGAATCAACAACAAGTGGGACACAATCATGAAGTGGAACGAAATTTATTGGATATGTCAAACTTTTTTAACAAATAAAAAAACTGAAAAATTGGGCGTGCAAAATTATTCAACCCCCTTAAGTTAATACGTTGTAGCGCCACCTTTTGCTGCGATTACAGCTGTAAGTCACTTGGGGTATGTCTCTATCAGTTTTGCACATCGAGAGACTGAAATTTTTGCCCATGCCTCCTTGCAAAACAGCTCGAGCTCAGTGAGGTTGGATGGAGAGCGTTTGTGAACAGCAGTTTTCCACAGATTCTCGATTGGATTCAGGTCTGGACTTTGACTTGGCCATTCTAACACCTGGATATGTTTATTTGTGAACCATTCCATTGTAGATTTTGCTTTATGTTTTGGATCATTGTCTTGTTGGAAGACAAATCTCCGTCCCAGTCTCAGGTCTTTTGCAGACTCCATCAGGTTTCCTTCCAGAATGGTCCTGTATTTGGCTCCATCCATCTTCCCATCAAGTTTAACCATCTTCCCTGTCCCTGCTGAAGAAAAGCAGGCCCAAACAATGATGCTGCCACCACCATGTTTGACAGAGGGGATGGTGTGTTCAGGGTGATGAGCTGTGTTGCTTTTACGCCAAACATAACGTTTTGCATTGTTGCCAAAAAGTTCGATTTTGGTTTCATCTGACCAGAGCACCTTCTTCCACATGTTTGGTGTGTCTCCCAGGTGGCTTGTGGCAAACTTTAAACGACACTTTTTATGGATATCTTTAAGAAATGGCTTTCTTCTTGCCACTCTTCCATAAAGGCCAGATTTGTGCAGTATACGACTGATTGTTGTCCTATGGACAGAGTCTCCCACCTCAGCTGTAGATCTCTGCAGTTCATCCAGAGTGATCATGGGCCTCTTGGCTGCATCTCTGATCAGTCTTCTCCTTGTATGAGCTGAAAGTTTAGAGGGACGGCCAGAGAATCTGTGGAAAGAACTGAAAACTGCTGTTCACAAATGCTCTCCATCCAACCTCACTGAGCTCGAGCTGTTTTGCAAGGAGGCATGGGCAAAAATTTCAGTCTCTCGATGTGCAAAACTGATAGAGACATACCCCAAGCGATTTACAGCTGTAATCGCAGCAAAAGGTGGCGCTACAACGTATTAACTTAAGGGGGTTGAATAATTTTGCACGCCCAATTTTTCAGTTTTTTATTTGTTAAAAAAGTTTGAAATATCCAATAAATTTCGTTCCACTTCATGATTGTGTCCCACTTGTTGTTGATTCTTCACAAAAAATTACAGTTTTATATCTTTATGTTTGAAGCCTGAAATGTGGCAAAAGGTCGCAAAGTTCAAGAGGGCCGAATACTTTCGCAAGGCACTGTATCTGTCTTGTTGTCATCCTCAGAGAAACACATGAACAGTTTTCCTTTGTGAGTTGACCTGCTGATGTCTCCTCTGGGAGACTAAAAACAGGTGTTTGTGTTGGAAACCAGAGCTCCCAGTTTTCCACATCTGGTTAGATCAGCTCAGTTTCTGTTTCCCAGGTGGAGAGAATGAGTGAATTTTGGACAAAATAAGCATTTGACAAAGGAATGTCTTGAACAGTCATCACTCCTCTGGCATAAATGATCAGCTGATTAGTCACAGATGCACTAATCAGAGTGACTGGCGGGTCTCAGTGGGTGCAGCCGTGCACACACACACCCGCTGGTCATTGTTCAGCCGAGAAGTGTCAAAACAATGAAAACTTAATGTTTCCTCTAACTCAGCCTGATGGCTTCAAATGTCATGATTCAATTTCCTGTGACAGATCTGGAACAAATCAGGTTTATGCTTTAATATGACTTGTATAAGGACTTGATTATTAGTTCTGTACATTAAATTATAACATTGTTTCATCTCAATAATATGTTAAACAATAACTGACTTGAATTGCACAGCACTTTTCAAACGTGTCTGACTTGGTTCAGAACA